TACCAAACCTCTTTTGTTAGTGACTGTAGGGTCTGACCTTCCCCAGTTCTTTGGCAGCTTCTTTGTCAAGAACTGCACTGCAACGTTGACAAAACATAACTTTAGAGTCTTTAATCTTAAATATGTTTAGGAAGTCGATTAGTTCTTCCTCGACTCTGGGGTACACCATTTTCATCTTCTCTATATAGTCAAGCATATTGACTTCACCTACTTTAGTGTCAAGGTCTTCAGTGATATCGACCATCATTACCTTTACAGGCTCAACAAATGGGGCTTCTTTAGCTTTGGCGTTTGAGTCACCTTCCACCCAAGGCTTCTGTTTATCTGCAAACTTCAACCTTCCATCCATTAGTGTGTTATTCCCTAGATATATGAAAATAATACATTGAAAATTTTTATGACCAAAAAAATTATGAAAATTTCAAAAACTTTTTTTCTTTCTTTATTCTAATGGCGGTGTCTTAAGCCTTTTAGGGACTATGATTTTGCCATTAGAAACTAATAGGTAAAATATTTCATCACACTTGGTTACGTCAAATGTGTATGTTTTGTAACAAACTTTTCTTTTTTACTAGATTCAACATGATTTTTCTCGTTCAAAGGTTTTAGCACCCTACAAATGTAAGTAGGTCCTAAATTTAATTCTGCAAGATTAACCTCACTTTCTTCGACATATTCATAATCAATGCCAGATATCTGATCAATTTCATCCATCTCAACATATGTGACTTTCTCTCTTTTTTTGTTATATTTATTTGACCTGGCCTTATCAGCTTTCAAACGTTCGACTTGTCGAACTCTATCTGCTAATTGGGAAATGTCCCTCAAGTATTTGAGTATCTAAATTATTCCTAATGGAATAGTCGAGACCTATGACAACTAGTTCAACTAACTCATCTTCAAGCATTTGTGTAAATAAATTTTCCTTTAATAGTATAAACTTTTTAAGGTATTCATCTGTTGACTGAGAGATATTTCTCTTTACACTAGTCAATTCTTTTATGATAATCTTCAACTGGCCCATGTAAAATTGTTCATGGAATACTCTTTCCTACTGATTCCATGTGTATATGGAATTCGGGGGAAGGGCAGTGAACCATGTAAACGCATCCTTAGTTAGAAAATTTGGGAAATACTTCATTTTTAAGTTCTCATTATTAGCCAAGTCTCCTGCCTCAGACTGATACCTAATAATATGTTCGATAGTGGATTCGTTGGTATCCCCTACAAACTTAGTGAACTTAGGGATTTTCCAGTTCAGTATGCAACACATATTCAAAGAAAGCAAAGACAAAATTTGTCATATGAAGGCCAACATTGAGACCATTCAGGGGTAAAATTTGTTCGACCATATTAGTTATATTATTTTGCTCCCCAAAATTATTTTGCTGGACATTCCTAACCACCTGGTCCGCATCCTGGTTTATATGCACCCTTACTACCTCAGTGTCATTTTAGCCTTTATTGCCTTCGACTACCCTTAGTAAGGGTTGTTCGATAGGTACAACCTATTGTGATATTTGGTTAATAGGCACTTGTTGCATGGGCGCTTGAGGAGTACCAAAGAAATCAGTAATTCGACCTATTTGGTACGCCAATTGCTGGTAACTATGGTTAGTGTTCTAAATCAAAGAGTTAAACACAACCCCACATTATTGTGTAAGCATATTCACCATCTCCTGTTTACTCTCATCCATTTGTTATCTCACAGACTAGAGGGAACTAGTTGTTAAAGATGGCACAATTGAGAAACATATCCTACCCCTCCTTATGGTTGTAACATTCAGCTAGTACTGCTTATATAAGATCATGATGCTGAGTATGGATTGAGAGAGGTTGCAACAATTATTTCACATTATTTGCATACATAGATGCATTATTTTGTAGACCTGTCATTATTGCAGTTGACATTCCATAAGGATACTCCCTACCAAGAGGGGGTAGGGCAAAATTTGGGAGAAAAGATGGTATAGGATCTCCAAAAATTGGTTGTGTAACCCTGGGAGTAGTGGGAACACTTGTTAATTATGGTGAGGAAACCACCACTTCTGGTGATACTATCGAAATTGATATTTGGCTTATAACATGAGTAGTTATTTCAACATATGTTGAAGTTCTCATACCATCAAACGTCGTTTCAGTTGGTTGTTCTTCTATATTTGGTGTGTCAATTTGTGGAAGGGACATGTTTTTTGACTTTCTTCCTGCCATACTCCTTTTACTAGTAATTTTTTTTAACTCTACCACTTCTCAAACGCATGCACACTCAAATGTTTACATGAAGAACACAAATAAAGAATATAAAGACACGATGCATTTCTGCAAAGTTAATATTTCTTGCACAAAATGGTCCCATGGGACATGCCAATTTGTTTACTGGTATTTTTAGTAAACAATCACGAGTTTGGTTCACTTAAAAAATTAAACTCGAAAAAATCTCAAAAAAAGTTGTGCAGAAATGAGCAGTAAAAAGTGTGTGTGATTGAATATTAAATGTTTGAATAATGACAATATAGATATAAACTCCAATAAAAATAAGTTTTGGATGAAGATAATAAACAAAAAGCGTGATAAATATCATTAAAGTAAAACTATTTTATAAAAGAATTAAAGAATTTAAAGAGAGGACACATGCTCTTACATTTCTCACAAACTCTTTCTCTCTATAAACTTTGGTACTTTAGTTCTACAGAGAATAAATGAGAGTTGCGACCTTGATCCCAATAATAAAATCAACTATTTATACTAATACAATAGTAACCGTCGACAACAATTATTTCCACAAGATTTGACACGTATTCTATTACGTGTGCTTTAACTCTCTAACTTGCTTCCTCGCGTTTTTAATGTTAAAACAGCTAAAAAATCTCTCATCATGCTTGATAACTGCCTTTGAACCGTCTAACTGCTTATGGTCGAAAATCTTTGGTCAACCTAGGGATGACAAAAAAAATATGTACCCACGAGTATTTGCGGATAAAATCCGTCACGGATATGAGGCAGCTAGCTTAATGGATATCCACAGATAAAATAAATGGATATTTAAATACCCATTTGTTAATGGATATGGATACAGATTTAATGATATTCGTGCCCGTGGATATCCATATCCATTAATAAATTATAAAAATCTTTTAAATATAATTAATTTATTATACCTTATATTTTCATCTTCTAAAATATTTGTCTTCTTATATTTCTTTCTTTTTTTTTTTGAAATTTTCTTTGAAGAAAACCTTTCAGATTTCATTCAAATTCTATTAACCATTTCATATTTAAATTCTTCAATACTTCATATCTCACTTTAACAATTTCACAATCCAACCAACTAGTGTCGTCATTTCTCTGTCGAACCAGTGTCTCCCTTCCTACTTCTCTGTCGTATACTTTTCCATCATAACTCACAATCATAATATATTTTATTTGTTTGGTTAAAAATGAAATGTATGAATATTATGTTTGAATCTAATTATGTTTTGGTGAATATGAAGAAAATTATTGTTAAATTAAAAGCGAATTGTATGTATGTTATGTGATAATAACCTTTTGTGTCTTTTAAAGAAGTTAAAAATATTTTTTTCAAAAAATAATTTTTATGAGAAAAATATTATCCATAGATATCTGTAAATATCTGCGGATACTGTAAAACACACGAAGTACATGCTTAATGAATATCATATTTATCCAACGTGGCAGATACATATATCATAGTATCCATCCCATGAATATCCATTTACATTCCTAGATCGACCCCTATAGTGTTTCCTCAATATTCTTAGTTCGGTTGACTTAGACTTAAAAATACACTAAGTTCCCAAAATCTAATAGACGTGTCAAACTTCTTCAGCTAAAATTTTTAGGCTAACACTCGGTCTCTTTCTTAACTTTCTCATACTTTTTTCAACTTTCATCATTTTTACACATAAATCATTATTCAAAACACATCTTTTTTACTCTAATTTTATTCTAAATACTTTCATTCTACTATCGCAATTCTTTACCCCTAGATCCAAAATCTTCTGATTCTCTCAACATCTTTTTAACTAGTTTTCTAATCTCTTAGGGTATGTTTAGATTGATGGTATGAGATGGAATGTAATGGAGTGGAGAAGTAACTAATGTGATTCCATTGTTTGGATATGCAAATAAATGATGGAATAAAATGGAACATGATCGAATCCATTTCATTCTATTCTATCCAAATTTTCATTTTTTGTTTCATCCAATTTGGGGTGTAAGTGATAAAATGAGATATTTTTAATAAAATAACCAAACAATGAAATGAAATTTATATTCCATTCCGCTCCGCTCCACTTCGCTCTACTATATTTCGCTCCGCTCCGTTATGTTATTTTCTATTAATCCAAACATAGCCTTAAGATATTTATTTTACATATCAGTTGCACTTTCTTGTGCCTATTCGAAGCCTCCCTCAAGAAAAAATCCCTTATTTTTCTCATTCAAATGCCTCACTCAAGCTAACACCTAATCTCTTAACTTTATGATACTTTTCCCAACTTTAAACATTTTTACACATAAATCATTATTTAAAACATTTCTTTTTTACTCTAACTTTATTCTAAATAATTTCATTAACTTTATTCAAAATTCTTTCATTCAACTATCACAATTATACTATTTGATATATGAAGTCTCATGTAATTTTTCTCTTGGTTATACTCTGAACTCTTACATAAATAACCAATATGCTAGGAATATTGACCATTGACTTGTACGACTTAACTTCACAAGCAACCGGCAACCGCCAAAGCGATAACAACAAGACTACTCCAAAGTGTCCGAGCCGCACACGATCCTTCCCCAACCTTTGGTTAAATCACTACACTTCCTCTTCTCCTTCAGATCCCTCACACTGCAATTCGATCCAACTCAAGGTAAAATCAATCACTCACTCACCAATGATTTTCCTCCATTTTCCAATTTCTTCTAATTTCATCTTTTTCTATCTTCAGAACAAGGTTTCCCAGTAAATTAAGAAGATGAGTCAAGTTTTCGAAGGATACGAACGCCAATATTGCGAACTCTCTGCTAATCTCTCCCGTAAATGCAGTTCCGCTTCTCTTCTTTCTGACAAAGGTAGTTCCAATTCAAACTCCACTTTTTCATTATTGTTGTTTACTTGTTTTGGACCTCAATTCATTGCTCTGAATCTGATTGGAGGCAAATTGTGTTGTTGAATGATTTTGTGCCACTGCTATATGATTTGATGAAGTGCTTTATGTCAACAGTGATTGATTTGATCATTTTAGTTTATTCTGTTACTGATATTAGGTTTCTTATTGGACTTAACTATTGTTACTAAATTGTGATTTAGTTATATCAACATGCCTTCTAATTGTGATTTTGGATACTCTTCTGATCTGTGGCTCCTAACCCCAAAATAAATATAGGCTTCGGTCCGTAGATAGTTGAGATTTTAGGGTATGTTTGGCTTGATGGAATGTGATGTAATGGAGCGGAATGAAATGGTATGGAATGAGGTTTCACTGTTTGGATCAAATAAAATTGGATGGAGCATAGTAGAATGGAGTGGCATGGATTCCATTCCATCACTTATCATTATATTTCTTCCCCTCCGATTTGGGCGGAATGGAGAATTTGTCTTGCTCCATTCTAAAATACTCAAACGATGGAATGTAATCTTCATTCCGCTCCTTTGCATATTGCTTCGTTCATTTCATGATATGCAAAGATATTAGGATGGTTGATTTGATTAAGCTTAGGGGAGGTTATGAGATAACTTATGAGTCAAAATGTCGGGAGCATCAAATGGGCCACTCCTTTCCATTTAACACGAAGCTGAAAAAGCAGAAGTGCTGAAGCTCCATCTAAATAGGAGATAGGGACGTGGCTAGAGGAAACATGCATGCAGCTGGATATTTGTTAAACCGAGCGTGTGCAGCTGTTTTGTTGATAGGAATCTTGGTAGACATAGGCTGCTCATAGTTTATCTATAAATACCAGTTGTATAGAATGATTAACATGCATCAATAATGCAACTCTTTTTTTCATTTGCAATTTACCTTTAATTGCAAGTCTTTACTATTTTATCATGATCTGCTAGTTTAGCTAGCTTTGTTCACCTCACTTAACACTCTCTTGAGTAGTTAAAGAACTCATAGTTGAGGGACATAGTTCATTTCTCAATGAAATCATCTGAAGAAGAAGAAATCATTGTTGATAGAAATTAGTCAAGCTCTTAGCTAAATTCAATTCACGTAAACAACAATGCTTTTTTTGTTTTAGTTCTATGGGGAACACATGCTTGAACGGATGCAAACTATGATATTCGGACAACACGAAGAGGAGGATAGGAGCTCTTGTTAGTTGTTACAACTAAATGGGGGAAACAGGGAGGGGGGACCACTATTCTCTGCAATAATACACTGATTTTATGACTGGAAGAACATGTCGCTTTCTAGTCCCACTGCAACAACTTTAACTCTTCATCGAGACTCCTAGTCACATAAAAGAAAACATCATACTTACACATAATTGTTTACATACAACAACAACAGTCAACAACTAAGCCTTCTCCCACTAAGTTGGATTGGCGACATGGATCAACTTCCGCCATAATGTTCTATCCAGAACTATGCTTTTATCCAAATTGTTAGCATATATAATAAATATATTATTACTTTAAAATATAAAAAAATGATTAGTGTATTATTTGTTATTTGACTTTTCAAAAGGTTTTAGAAAACACCAATTAATCTACTGTCATACCAACTAAACATACCCATGTGTCATATGTTTCTCTTGTTGACACTTCGTTCATTGGAAACTAATTCTCAAAACAATTTTGCTGGAGAAGCTGGATGATATTTACTGTGCCGTGTGTCAAATGTTTTCATGAGCATGTTTCTGCCACTGCGACATAAATATATGTCAATACCATTTTTTTTTTTACATTAGATCCTCTGTTACTGATTTTTCTGTGATCAATACTAATTTCAGAAGAGAAGCTGCAAAAAATTTCTGAGATCAAAACTGGACTTGATGACGCAGATGTTTTGGTACAATGTTGAAATGTTTCTTTACATCTCATGCCTTACTTTTATGCTTATTAAGTTTTTAAATTTGTTATTTGTTTTAATTTCTGTTACCTATCTCTCCCTCTAGATTCGGAAGATGGACCTTGAGGCAAGAAGTCTGCAGCCAAGTGTAAAAGCAATGCTTCTTGCAAAGTTGAGGGAATATAAATCTGATCTAAACAACTTGAAAAAAGAACTTAAAAGATTAACATCTCCGACTGCCGATCAGGCTGCCCGGGATGATTTGTTGGAGACCGGAAGGGCAGATGCATATTTGGTATATCTGAAACTCTGGAATATTTTACTTCATAGCATATATTTCTTGAAAATGAAAGGAGGAAGCTTGTGGCTTTCTTGTCTCTGGTTAGAGTCTTATAGAGCCCCAAAGTGGGAAAATAAAGTTGTTTCTAGTTGTCTCTTCATAGTGTGATATTTTTATGCGACTGAATGTTTCCAGAAACTTGAGTAGAAGTAGCTTCCATAAATCTGGTAGTTGAAGTAGAAACTGCAATATGGGCGTGGAAAGCATGAATAGTAGAAGCATACACTTATTTGAAAGATAGAAACTTGGGTTGAGGTTCAAGGAGTCATATTTTGTAGAGTTTAAATTGGGAATAATCATTCCCTAACCTGAAAATTTTAGGAACTCATAGGAAGAGAAGATAAATAGGGGAATTAAAGAAGATAGGAGATGGATTCATGGTGATTTGGATGAACAAGCTTCTTGCTCCCGCAATGTTTGGCTTCCAAGAAAGGAATTTTCTGATCATTTCTCTAATTTCACATCAAAAGATCTAAGACTCTCAGAAACATCTAGTTACTTATTGAACATGGGTCTGACATAGGGCATTTTCAGTCCCATTTCTGGGCATATTTATGTCTAGTTCCATACATGCATGTTGTTGTATTGAGTCTCAATCCCATAGTTCCTAACATAAAGTCACGAATCTGGAAACATGACAAAATCGTCATTGCAAGTTTGTAGTGAACCCAATAAATAGGCCAACAGGTAAATGAACTACTCAGCTCAGATGAGCTAAAACCCAGTTCCAACGAGTGGAACCTAGTCATACCGTCCTTCTCTCTTTAGTTATTATTGTGAACCTCATTGATTTTGAGTTTTGACCTTGTTATGCTATTTTTGTGTGCTCAGTTTTGAACCTATCTAGTCTGGTGGGTTAACCACACGAGTTTTGGCCCTAAATGTGTCCAATGCTCATAATTAAATCTTCTATTTCATTCATCAAGTTCAATTGTGCTCCCTTTTGGGCATTTTTTACACTCTTTCTGTTATTCCTCTCAAATTAGCTCCCATTTCCTTGAGTTATTCCGACAAACAATATCTGTTAAACTTAGATCATAAAAAAATTGAAATGACATGAAATTTCGTCTGGAAAATTATGCAAACTACGCATGCAGGAAGTTCTGAATGAAAAGGTTATGTAGCTATAATGAATCTTACCTAAACAAGAACTAAATGAAGAGTTTTGTCCAAGAGGTGTCAGCTCAGTGGTAAGAGCTTTACTTTGTAACGTTGGGGGACAAAGTTCAAATCCCACCTAGGATAGTTGTAAAATGGCTACTAGGGCCACCAATGTTAATAAAGTTTTCCCCTTCCCCAATAGTTTTATTTTTATTAAAAAAAGAACTAAATGAAGAGAAAACACAACTAAATGATTATCATTACTTGGAAATAAGGTTGCAGATATTTGCACATGCATATCTCTCGGTTTTGTTTATCCGCATATCTTTTATTTTGAACATGAAATTTTTGAAATCGATTGCACTTGTAATGATAATATTTCCTTTCCAATTGCATATCCAGTTCTTCGATTGTCCTATATCCCCATATATATGTTGAATTTGAAATTTGTAGTGTTTTGAAAATGGTAGACATTAAAGAAAGTAGTGCAGTAGATCAAATGTTGTTATTTTATTATGTATCATGTGGTGGTGAAATATGGATGATTTTGCAGGCATCTTCTGATCAGAGAGAAAGACTAACTATGTCAGTGGAGAGATTAAATGAGTCAAGTGATAGAATCAGGGAGAGCCACAGAACAGTGTTGGAGACCGAAGAACTTGGCGTCTCAATCCTCCAAGATTTACACCAGCAGCGCGAGACTCTCCTGAGCTCCCATAAAAGGGTACTTGATATGTAAATGTAATTTTGTTTCAAATGGTGTTTTTATATGTCAACTTTAGATAGTTATCGTTCTCCTTCCTTTTGATATAAAAGAATCACATACAATCTCAATCGCATCAGTTTATCACCTTAAAATAAGATTGTTAGCATTCAACGTAACAAATGCAATATAGAAGCTGTGATGATTAATGGCTGATGATAACTTTTGTATGCTTTGCAGCTTCATGGAGTGGATAATGCTATTGACAAGAGTAAGAAAGTTTTAACCACCATGTCACGGAGAATAACAAGAAACAAATGGATCGTTGGATCTTTGATTGGAGCTCTAGTTTTTGCAGTAGTTGTTATTCTGTTTTACAAGCTATCTCGTTAGGTGATATGCACAAGATACGACACAATTCAAGTGATCTTTTATACTTTGTATCATTGTATGTGTTTGGTTGTATATAGGAACCATATATGATGTTTGTCATATCCCTGCAATTGTTTCTCCATTGTTATTTTTTATGATTGGTGAAGTTTTCAACGATTTCTTGGTTTTCATGCTCTACATTTGTTGAGATGAAAGAGTGTTTACCTGATGCATGTAAATTTTTTGTCATGTATACTCGTTTTATGACACGATGCAAGTAAATTTGACGACATACTCAAGGAGGTTGGTAGAGAGGTTTAGTGGTGTGGTTTAAGGAAATCAAGTACAAGATGATCACGAAGTTGGGACGATGCCAAAACCAGTGGCGTTGGGGAGGTGAATAGATAATAAGACGACAGGGCACGTGTTTTTGTTGGTGAGCTAACATCAAGAATCTCCGATTAGGAATCGAAAGAGTTCTCACCAAATTCCTCTTTATTTTTTCAATTAAAAATTATATTTCGTTCAAATAACTAAGAAATAAAACATCTAAATTTTGGTGACAAATTGTTTTTTTATCCATGGAGTATTTGAGAATGCAATGATATTTTAATTTTTGAAACCCTCACAATTAATTAAAATGAATCTTAATATATACTTCTTTTCTAACAATTTAAAATCAATATTTCATATTTATTAAAAAAATGTTATCAAACAGATTTTTTATTGTTATATAAGCTTATAAATTATAAACTAAAAAATGATGGTGCAAAACAGATCTTTAGAATAACATATTTAAATGGAATATAAACTCAAAAATGATGGTGCAAAACTGATCTTTAGAATAACATATTTAAATGGAATAAAATTCCTTATAATTTATAGTATTAAAAAACATGTCTTTTTTTTTCTTATACATTGTTATAGGGGAGTGTTATTGATAAATGGAAACTTAACACAAGAATGATTAATATTAATGATTGTTATAGAAATTATGCATTTTAACGAGCTTGCTTTTAATCTGATTAGCTAATTTTCTGGGACAAAAGCTTTGGTAAGAATTTATCCATAAGAATAGTAATGTAAATGTCATAGTTGATATTTTTATAGAAGTTAAGAAAATATAATAAATTAAAGAAAGAAAATAGTGATTTTATTAAATTATAATTACTAATTATTGGTGTATTCAAATTAATGCGAAGATAAAAAATAATAAATTAAAAATATTAAGTAGACAGTATAGTTGGAAGATAAAATTCAAAATTGCATTGGTAATCTAAAAAAACAATTATTTTAAAACAAATAATTTTTCTACTTTTACGTCTTATTTTGGAACCGAGGGAGGGAGTAGTTGTTTAGATTCAAATTATAAGTATTTTAATATAACATATTAGTTTGATATAATGTAGTGATATTGCTTATCAATGAACAATGAGATGTAATGAAAAATTGAGTAATCAAAAGTTTGGTTTCATATTAATGTGCATCATATCTATGTTCTAATTAATGTGGTCTGGTTTTCAACACCACCATGCATAACAAACAACTTATAATGTTACCCTTGTAATGTTTGTGTCTAATGCTTTCAAATATAATTGATAAAAGTATTTAAAAAAATGTGTTTACTAGATAATTGAGGTACAAAAATAATTGTCACAGAGATGATAAAAAGAGATTAGACTAAGTCAACACAAATTGAATTCGAGCAAAATGGTGGATTCCAGTTTTGTAAATAGAGTAAAAGAAAAGAAAAGGAAATAGTGATAAATAGAGAAAAAAAAAGGGAAGATTCACGTGGTCCCACAGCTCTAGAGATTAGAGAGAAGAAAAATCGCTTAACCAACTTTAATTCACAAACCCAATTTTCATTTTGCTGCTTTTTTCCAAAATAGCTTTTCTTCTTCGGCTTCCTTTCTCAGTTCACATCAACCAACTTCATCTCCATGGATTCTCTTCCTTCGGTATCCCCTTCCACGGTTCTACCTTCAAGCAATCCTTTCCGTCGCCATCCTCGACGTCTTTCTCTCTTCTCTCGCCATCCCCGTCTTCCTCCAAAACTCGTCTCTACACCTCGCTACCGAACAAGGAGGAGGAAGGAGTTGTTGTGCAACGTTGGCGTCAGCGGTGGCGGAGGAACCCTAGGTGGAGACGACGGTGGAAACGAGGAGGTGGAGAAAGCGCTTCACATGGACGGCAAAATTCCCGGCAGCTCCGACGAGTTCCTGAAACGCGTTTCCTCCCGTGCTTATGACATGCGCAGGAACCTCCATCAGTCTTTCGATTCTAGCAGCTATGACGGTATCTTTCCTCTTGCGTTTCGCTTTTTCTTACTTGTGATTCCGAGAGATTAATTGAACTTGAATTTTATGTTTCTTTCCCGAACTTGAACTTCATAAATTCAACAAGATAGCTTTAAAAACACTTGATAGCTTATATGGAAACTCTTATTATAGATATATTTTTTACATAAGCACTGATATAATAAGCGCTTAGTTAAGCTGTTTATCTAAAGATGCCTAAGTTGATCACGCTTCTCACTAAAATTACTCAGAAAACTTTTCAAAAGATTCATCCCCAAAGAAATAGTTGCAAATAGTTGGTAGTTGTTTTAGTGAAAAACATGATCAATTTGACCTAAGTTTTGTCCTAAATTAAATTCGCCTTTATTTTTATGATGTCATCATGATCATTACTGTTGGCTGATGTCTGTTTGTGCTTTTTGGTTAAGAGAAGACAATTTTGTTGGATGAGATTAACAAAAGAAGTGAAAGAGTGCAAGTTATAAAGAAAGCAAGTGGAGTTAGAAGAAAAAACAATCATCAATTTAGCTAAGCTTGCCAAACTCTTCCCCTGTACAACCGCAATACCTATTTTGTGGTATTCTTTTGCTGAGAAAGAGGCTAAGAAAACTACTTTAATGGAAGAGGAAGCAACTTCTATTGAAAAAACCGCCCCCTCAAATGGATCTTAGTAGCATCTGTGTTTAGCCTCTCGCTCTAGACTGTATCCTCCCTGAGGATATTCTAAGTTCACAAAAAGAGAATTGAAAAGGCCGAAGCTAAAATTGGTCACTGGAAATTCCAGCCTTCCTTTCTAACAATAGTCTCCAAAACAACTTTGCTTTGCTTGTCTTTACTGTTTTCTCCTCTATACTCATCTCTGACATGAATACCAAACTGAGTTGATTGAGAACTGTACTAGTTTACAACTCTAAGCTTCAAACTCAGGTTTCAAATTGTTTGTGTAAATTCAGGTAGACAGATGAACGGGTGGACAATTGACCGAGTCTACAATATATTGGTTATTTTTCTACGACATGTATAAAATGATAGTGGTTTACTATTTTTTTGAAAAATTCAAAAATGCAATAGCTGAATGATAAGACTCTGTAGTTTACGAGACATTAACATTACTTTTGCAACAGTCATTCCACATTTGCATCTAACATCCCAACGCGAACCCATCTATTAAGTGTCAACCCAATAGCTCTCTATGCATAAACTAACTCATGGACTAAAAAACATGAACAATTCCTTTGTTGTAAGTGTGTTGTGAACCAAACAGGTCAACTAGGGGAATGAACCCTACTCGTGTGAGCTTAAGACTAGCTCTACCGAGTTGAATCTAGCTCCAAAGTGGGGGAACCTTGTCCCTCCATCCTCAATCTTTGGTAATTTTACACCTTGTCATTTGTCAATTTGTCCATTGCATTATAGTTGTATGAGATATGTAATGAAGTGTTACTGAAGAGGAAGGGATAATATATTTTAAACTACCCTGCAAATGTTTGAACTTGATGTAATTGTCTGTCGTCAATGTTTGAGATTTGTATATGTCAATATCAGTATAATATCTGTATAGGCAGAGAGTGTTTTAATTACTTGTAATAATCGAAGGTTGTCCTTTCGTCAGTTTATTGTTTCTTCTTTCTCTAATATTGTTCGTAATTTGTTGTTTCTTGTTTTCCTTTCGTCAGTTTTAGATGACAACCCTTGGAGAGAAACTTCAAAGCCTGTGTATGTACTCACCCAAAAGGAAAACCAATTGTGCACGATGAAAACCCGGAGAAATATTAGGTGTGTTTCAATTCTGTTTCCTTTTCTCAAGTAATATTTGGAATTTTCAGTACTTGACTTCACTTTTTATGTAACAGCGAAGTTGAGAGGGAGCTTGGCTTATTGTTTTCTAAAGGAAGCAAATGGAGAGCTGCAATAGAAAATCAGTCAAAACAAGAAAGGGGTGGGACAAAATTTCCAATGCAGGTAGAAGATATTAGAGAGGGAGTGCTGGTATGTACTCTATTCTGACACTCGTACATGTTCAAAATCATGACTAAATTTTGGATATTTACTGTCATCCAAACATTTTGTAATGTGAAATGCATCAGAAAGTATCTAAGAACATTTACTATTGTCTCTGTTGTGTTTGAATTTAATTGGTTTGGTGCAGGTATTTGAAGATGAAAATGAGGCCGCAAAGTATTGTGACTTGCTGCAAGGAGGTGGTCAAGGTTGCGAGGGTGTTGCTGAGATAGACGCCTCATCGGTACAAATAACCAAACAATTATCATTTTTCTCTGATCTCCTGTTTGAAAATTTTAAACAATAGTATTTGCATGATGTCTTGCAGATATTTGAACTTTGCAAGAAAATGAGGGCTCTTGCAGTTCTATTCCGCAGAGGGAGGACACCTCCTGTACCCGAAAACCTCAAGCTTAATCTGCGAGCTCGAAAACGGTCACTTGAGGACCAAGATGATTTGATATGAAATTCAACTCCCTTTTTGATGGGAAAGAAGTGACTGTATGGTAAATAAGTTTAGCACTCTATACAGGCAAAAGGAACAAAATTGTGTATAACAGATTCATTCATCAGTATATAAAAAGAATATAGCATGTATATTGTTACTCAAATCACATGGTTAGTTTTTTCTGTGAAAATTTGAGCGGCCTAAAGACAAAGCAGAAGAACTTGATGTTCCAACTTAACTGCTTCTCATAAACCTAGTTTTAAAATTGTAGTACACATAATTTCCAACCAAAGTATTCGCATAATTTAAACTCTTTCATACCCTCTCTTAAACTCAACTATAGAATGCAATTAGTTTACATTGTATTCTTACACATTCTCTTTATATTTATGAGTTTTAAAAATGCTTCTAACTTCAATGACTTTGTTATTAAAACTATCCAATCTTTTGATTTATATTGAATTAATTTAACTTCACCAAATGAAATTGCAGATAAATGTACTTACTCCTTCCATCCATGTCTAAATTTTTTGACAGTTTAATTGTTGAGCTATTGTCACATATAATGACATCAACATCTTCATGTGAATAACTCAGTTTCTTCAACACTCTCTTTATCCATATCATTTGATAACCACAAGCAACAAGTGCACAAATTTTGGTTGTTTCTTGGAAGATCACAAAATTGCTCCGGAACTTAAAATAATCACTATATGGAAAAGCAATGTCCTTCAAATGCCTTATTATCATTTTCGCAGTCTGTAAATTAAGTTCAGTAGGCTTGACCATGTACCTGCTGATCAAACATCTCCGTCTCAAAATAAGAGATAGGTGGTATGTCTCAAAATAAAAGATAAAAACTAAAAGTAACATTTATTTTAGTACAAATAATTTTTACAAATCTGACCGTATGTCTCAGCGTGTTGAAAACCTATCTCTTATAATCGATTTCATCAATTGTAACTCCTTAATAATTTTTACTTATTTAGATCTCTGACACAATTGACTACATATTGACTTAATTTCAAGTATCGTAAAACACTTCAACATTTCAAAGGGTACTTTAAAAATAAAAAATAAAAAACCCATAAATTCTTTAATACTTCAATATCCATTGTTAATATCTACACATCAAACTTAACAAGAGTGTAGAGCGTGATGGAACGCATTAGAATATTTTAAAATTTATATTAATTTGATATAGAATTTAAAAATAATTTATATAGAGTGATATTTCTCATCTTAAAAATTGATTTTATGAAAATACGTTAAAACAAATTTTAATAAATTTCTTTTTTTAACCTTTTAGCTGCTCCACTTGTACACCCTCATTGAGTTCACCATACAGAAATGTTGATTTAATATGTCATATTCCTAATCGTTTATGCTGCAAGTACCAATATCATCCTCCCAATATGCATTCGATTCACTAGAGCAAATACTTTAGTGAAATCTACCCTTTGTTATTGAGAATATCCTTTGGTCACCAACTGAGCATTATATTGTCAACTTCTCCAAATTCATTTATTTTAAAAAATCCATTTACCTCCAATGACTTTAGCTCCAACTAGTAATAATTATAATATTTATAATTGATAGGATTTGCAGAAATAACTAAAGCTATATTGAGATTAACTTTCTTTTTGAATAAACCTTCACCACTAACATGATCCTTCGTTTAAAATAGAATTCATGCCAATGTTAGATCTTGTGTTGGGGTCTGCTGCAAAACATGAATAAAAAGAAGATGATGAAGACGGTAGGATGAAAGTTGAACAAAATAATTCTAAAGCATGAGTTTACACTAAGTTTTAGGTTCAATTCGCCCCATCAATTTATACAAAAGGGTTAACCGGCGAATCCCCTTTAGAATACTTTGAAAACCTTAACATGAATCGCACATTCACGTTAAGCATATCGATTAATGATATTTTACTGAATAAATTTTCTTCATTTATCTGATATAAATTTTGCCTTTGAAATGACTTAGATATAAATTTTGCCTTTGAAATATATTTTTTTTATAGATCTTTTATGGCTGACAAATATCTCTATTTATAAAAAAACTTGTACAGATTTGTGTGGAGAAATAATGTTTTATTTGATTCCAACATGACCATTCGCGAACTATTGTATATCAATAGCAACAAACTTTTTCATGAAAAGTTGTGTTAATTTGGTGGTTGCACCTTTTGACCACGCACTCAATCATTATAGGATCTCTGGTTCTATTCTAGACAGTTGCGGTCATTTATTTGGTTAATTTAACCATTATTATTTATCAATTTAATATTTGAAAATTTCTCCAACAATTCCCAACCATTTTCAAAATATATCTAAATCTATTATTCAGAAAATTTCATAATTTCAGATAAAGGTATCTTACGATTTGAGCAATACTTATTAAGTTAAGTTTTCACTCATCTCCGAATAGATTGGTAGACAAACTTTGAACCAATTATTCATTAAAACAAGCGTGCATAACTCACACATGAAATCTCGTTTCCATTCAGGCACGGATCCACCTTATGGACTTTGGGGGCATCTACCCCACTAGCTGCCCCCACTTGTTGTTTATAATGTTAAAAAATTTTTAATAATTTTATTTTTTACTTAATTAAATTCAAATGTTGTCCCCATAAAAAAATTCAATATTTTTAAGACTTTAATAGTTATATATTAATAGTGTAATAAATTTTTTAACTATAATATAATAAAATATATTATTTTATCATATCATATAAGTAATTTAAAAATTTCAATTTGATTTGACGAAATAGATGGTCGTCATTAATTAACAATATAAAATTAATTTATACCGTCCATGTATCATTCATTTCTCTATTTTAAAAAATAATAATTTTAAAACTTTAAAATATAAAAATCTTTAAAAAATATTTCTTAGATATTAAGTATATCTTATATTAATAGTGTAATAAATTTTTTAACTATAATCTAATAAAATATATCATTTTATCATATCATATAAGTAATTTAAAAATTTCAATTTGATTTGACGAAATAGATGGTCGTCATTAATTAACAATATAAAATTAATTTATATCGTCGACTTATCATTCATTTCTCTATTTTAAAAAATAATAATTTTAAAACTTTAAAATATAAAAATCTTTAAAAAATATTTCTTAGATATTAAGTATGTTTTATATTTTATATATAAAAGGACAGAATTTTAGTAGTGTCTAAATTATATATATATATATATGTGTGTGTGTGTGTGTGTGTGTGTGTGTGTGTGTGTGTGTGTGTGTGTGTGTGTGTGTGTGTGTGTGTGTGTGTGTGTGTGTGTGTGTGTGTGTGTGTGTGTGTGTGTGTGTGTGTGTGTGTGTGTGTGTGTGTGTGTGTGTGTGTGTGTGTGTGTGTGTGTGTGTGTGTGTGTGTGTGTGTGTGTGTGTGTGTGTGTGTGTGTGTGTGTGTGTGTGTGTGTGTGTGTGTGTGTGTGTGTGTGTGTGTGTGTGTGTGTGTGTGTGTGTGTGTGTGTGTGTGTGTGTGTGTGTGTGTGTGTGTGTGTGTGTGTGTGTGTGTGTGTGTGTGTGTGTGTGTGTGTGTGTGTGTGTGTGTGTGTGTGTGTGTGTGTGTGTGTGTGTGTGTGTGTGTGTGTGTGTGTGTGTGTGTGTGTGTGTGTGTGTGTGTGTGTGTGTGTGTGTGTGTGTGTGTGTGTGTGTGTGTGTGTGTGTGTGTGTGTGTGTGTGTGTGTGTGTGTGTGTGTGTGTGTGTGTGTGTGTGTGTGTGTGTGTGTGTGTGTGTGTGTGTGTGTGTGTGTGTGTGTGTGTGTGTGTGTGTGTGTGTGTGTGTGTGTGTGTGTGTGTGTGTGTGTGTGTGTGTGTGTGTGTGTGTGTGTGTGTGTGTGTGTGTGTGTGTGTGTGTGTGTGTGTGTGTGTGTGTGTGTGTGTGTGATAACACGAAATCATATAGATGTTTTTATGCATAATTCGACTAAAAGCTAACCGTTTTCGATCCGATTTCGGGTTATTTCCGTGTATTTGTCTGATGTTTTTGCAGGTATTCAACGATCACACCTAAACAAGGCAACATGAAGAAAAGAAGCAATCCCAGATGAAATATGGACGAAAAAGGAGTGAAAACACAATGAAAAGCGCAATAGACTGTTTTTGCTGATGTGACGACCGTCACAGATGCATGACGACCGTCACACGGGTGACGACCGTCACACCTTGTGACGACCGTCATGCAGGCAAAAACGCCCCACTCAGATTACACGTCAAAAGAGCAGTTCCAATTCCCATTAAGTGGACCACTACTCCCTAAATTATCTGCCTCAAGGTCCATCATCCTCAGAGATAACCGTTGAGATTCCACTTCTATAAAAAGGGAAGCAGGGGACTTCAAAAAGTGTGCTGCATTCATACCACGAAGTGCTGCCGAATTTAATTTCCAGAGCAAATTACTTTCCAGTTTTATTTGTATTCATTTCTCTTTACATTTCCTTATTCCCATTTCCGCTCTTCTGTAATTTCTATTATATTGTACGATCAAATTGGCACTAAAGACCAGAATCCTGCCAACATCTGTGGAGGATCTGCCCAAAGGCCAATTGGCATATTTACAGGTTTTCATTTTGATCGACTTCTGTTTTATTATAATGCAATTTATTATTTATTATTCTTATTTATGTTTTGTTTTTCCCAATTCCATGTCTAGCTAAACTTAGGTAATCGATATGTAGTAATAATTCGAATGGGATTTGATAACCACTGGTTTGAAAACTTTCTTTTCACAAAAGTAATCTATGGTCTGAGTGTTTAAAATTGATTCACTGAATAAACTTCGTCGCGAAAGCGAGAACTTATTTAAAAGTAGTTTTGCCACGAAAGTGGGAAATTAATTAAGATACGAACCAACAAGCGAAAGCTGCGGTAAGGTCAGATAGTAAACACTAGGCATTTGTTTTAATAACAGCGAAAGCACTTTAAAACGAATTAGAACTTAGAGATTTCCAAAAAATAGTTTTAACCCCGAACGGGATACGAAAGTGT